GTGCTCTCAGTGCAGTCAGGTCTCTGGGTACTGACTGTGCTCAATGGCGTCCCTGAACAGCACCAGGCTCATGGGTACAATGCCAGGCGTCAGGTTATAGTCCTCCAGCTGTGTCTCCATGAATTTCTTCAGGGCCTTGAAGTCCATCAGGTCCTCATAGACCCGCGGCTCCCGCAGGAAATCCCCTGCCGTGCGAGAGGGACACGAGAGCTGAGGCAGACACAGGCAAGGCACATGAAAACTGAAAACATCCCCTATGTCCCACACTTCTCTTCCCCTCGCGCACATGTGTCCTTCACTGTCACAGGTAAACTGGCTGAGCGCTGAACTCCTTTCCATCTCCTTTGCTCCATCAGAAGGTACACCCAGTATGACAACTGCCTGCTGCTTGCGAGTTTGATGCCTTCTGTCAAGGTATTGGGATCTCAATTCATATGGAAAGGAACACAACCCTGCAAAATAACTGATTGCCTAACACCACTGTAAAATTTAGTTTTAATGTATTCGCTTCGTTAATTAAAACCACAAAAATCAATAAAATCACAAAACTAGGTTAGTTGCTCTTTAGGTTGTGTCCTGAATAAATTGCTGATGGCATAGCCTTATTAGTAACAGGAAGTGTGGTCAACAGGTGTCTCAGATAGATCATCCTCAAACCTGCTTAACTCGTGTTTCATCCCAGCAACAACACAAGAGCATCAGGAAGGTCTGCAACCAGAGAAGGCTGCTATTCTAATCTGGTCTGTTTGCTATTTAGTAGGTAATTGATGCAAAGATCTCATCCAGCTGCTCCTTGAGAGAAGCCAGGGTATCGGCCTCAACAATATGGCTGTGTAGCTCATTCCACACTCCCACAACCCTTTGTGTAAAGATGTGTCTCTGTTTTCATGTTTAAGTTCTTTTAACCTGTCAGTGTGCAACATTTCCATAAGCCTCAGAATGTATCTTTTTCTTTGACATATATTTTAATATTTACCATCCCAGTCTGGAATGTCTCTTTTGTGGATTGATTCCAGAGTATGAACACATTTTAGTGATGTCGAATAATATAATATCCCAAATGGTGTTTAATGATTGTTTTGTAATCCCATGTCAGCCCATGGGAATCCCTGAAACTTTAACATGACATTCCTTGAATTAAATTGTGAGCTTTTAGCTAATATACCCTTGAACACCTTTCTCCTAATCTGGACACAGAAATCATTTAAAACAGTGTTTAATATGTCTTAAAATGAGGTGGTGAGCTGGAAAATAAATCCCAGAAGCCTTGTTTCAGAACATCATCATCAATGGTCGTTGCAGGCCCCCAGTCGGCACAGGTCACCACCCACTCATTGTGGGAGGGCAGTTTTACTTCTAAACTGCAGTATGAATGTGCCGTGTGCAGGTGTCTTTGTGCAACTGGGGGCTGGTCATACCGAACAAGGGGGGCTGCTTGTTGGGGCAGATGCTGTGGTAGGTGACATTGAAGAGGGAGCCCAGCTTCTCACTCAGCAGCCCCAGGAAGGCTTCCATGTCGCCTCTGTCCACCAGCCGGTCAGAAAACACCCTGCAGGACAACGGATCAAAGGCCCATTTATGCAATTATTTTACAGAGAATCTTATATACTGCACCGGCCACCATTTCTTGGCCCAGCATTTGGCAGGGAGATGGTTTGTGTTTAGGGCTGTTACTGTATATCTTAAGAGAGGCAAGAGGACTGTGTGGTTGCCTAGGAAACAAAATGGCACTGAAGGAAACGCAGTTACTGAGAAATAACCTGCAAATAAGAAGACTGCCCTACACCCCTTTTATTATTTTTGAGGTACCAGTTTGGTTTGGGACTAGCTCTTTCTGTACATTAAATGGACTTTCAAAGTTCTTTCTCTGTACATCACAGTGTCAGCTTCCGTCCCTCACATTACAATGTCATATAGATATAGATCAGCATGTATTCAAGGGCAGGGGTTCTTGGTAGATAATTACAATAATGGTCTCCATGGCTGGTGATAATTAGTCTTTTTTCTCCCCTCACATTCAATTCATTAGTTTGTCTCTAGCTGGTCTGTACTGTTGTAGATGGATTTAAAAGGAGGAATCTGGAAATTATATATCAAAACATGTCAAATGTCACTTAGATTTAGTTGGATTGGCTGAGGATTGGATCTTGACCAACAGCTAAAAACTCGTTTTCATGTAATTATCCTTTTATATGTACCAACCCAATATGGAATCAACTCTGGCCTTGACTCCTGAACTCTTGTACCTGCTTGGTACACACAGGCATGCTTCTCTGACATGCCTACCTGTCAGAGCTGTTCAACTCTTCACATGCTGAGAACTCCACAAAGCCTGGGGGGCGTGGCGCACCTCTGTGTGTACAGGCCCATTAAAGGTGCAGGAACCCCCGATTTCCCAGAATACTAAGAGTCCTGTCTGACAAATCCCAACCCTGCCCCCCAGCAGCCCTCTGCCAGTGGCGAGCTCCTGCCTGGGGAATGGTGACACAACCCAGCCTGGAACTGGCAAAGGTCACAGATCACACACCTGACTCGGATCTCTGGCCCCATGCAGTCAATTATGACAGCAGATATTCTATTCCAGATCGATTGCCTTGATTGATCACTGAATCAGAGTGTTAACTCATTGGCTCCTGACCTGAAGCACTCGTGAATCCACAGTCGAGTAATGCTCTGCTTGGTGTCGTGGAAGTCTCTGTGAGCACGGAGCAATCCTTGGAACACCTGCAACACAATCAGAGATTTTCTAGTCATTTTTTCTTCTTATACAGCATCAATCCCCAGTTTAACTCCTGTGCTGTGCCAGCTGGGAGTCATCAGCTCTCAGGTCTCTCTCTAGCCCAGCAGAGGGGGGTAGAGGCCAACACGCACTCCTCCAGTGCTGGGGCGGCAGCTCTCTCCTCACCTTGGAGATGTCCCGCAGGTTGAAGAGGTAGTGGATCTTGGCTGGCGTCGGCAGGAACCTGTGCACGATGGCGGAGTAGATGTCCAGCGTGGCCTGGGTCACCACGTCCCCGATCGGCTTCACCTCCTCCTCAAACTCCTGCAGCTTCTGGTTAATCATGGTCCCGTAGATCCGCTTGATCTGGGACTCCTGCAGCCCGAGGCCCAGCGGGGCGAGTCAGGAGACAGAAATAGCGCGGCGAAAAGAAGAAAGAAAAGTGTGGAAATACAGACAAACACGGAGAGGAACAGACAGAAAAGTGTAGAAATTTATTTCAGGCACTGCACAGAGAAATAATTATTCCCTGACTTCCTGCATACAAGACTATTTCATTTTTTCCTTTATTTACACCTACCCCTTTTCTACAACTAAATAGGAATGTAATATTATTGTTGTTGTTGCCTTTAAGGCATCAGATGATGAGTTCACACACGGACATAAGAACAGCAAATATCATTTTAAACTATTTTACAATCACTATAGTTAAAATTTGCTACAAATGCTACAAATTACTGACAGCTAGTCCATGCTTACATATTTTAACACACAAGGCAATTTGGCAGTTTTAAATATTCCTTTGACAGATGACACTGACAGATGACAATCTCCCAGGTGGATCAAAGCAGATTTCAGATTTTGGCCTTTGACTCACAGTGGGGAAGGTCATGTTGATGAGGTTAAAACGGCTCTGCAGGCGTCCCGATATGTGAGTTCTTCCACCACCAGGGGGCCCCATTGCTGCCATCAGGAACATGTCCTGTCAATCAGAACAGAGTCAATTTGAGAAAACGACTAAAAATTCTCTTAACAAATCTCAGGTCCTGCCTATAGTTAAAGTAGTACAATCCAGACTCCAGCCTAGAGGCCAGGCCAAATTATCTGGACAGATATAATTCCTGGTAGGTTAGAACAGGCAGAAAGTGCAAGGCTCTCTCCTGGATAAAAGTCCTATCAAAGCTGGTACTGTTTTATTGCAAGTAGGCATGCACAGTTGGGGTGGAATATAGGGCAGACCCAAACTCACAAGCTTTCAGTCCTGAGTCCAGAGCTCTCAACTCCCATCATTGCTCTACTGTAAGAAGGTAAATACAGACCCCTGCATTTGAGCTGCTCTTTAGCTAGGCAATCCCAGAATTTCATCCAGAGATTTCCTTAGACATCCAACAGAGTCTGCTTCAGAGATGCAGGTGGGTAGCTTGCTCCCTTCCCTCACCTCTCTCTGTGTAAAGCAGTGCCTGCTGTCCTCAATCCTATGTGCTTCTGCTCATAGTTCTCACCCGATAGCACAGCTTTCACTCTTGAACGTGATGTATAGTTCCCTTAGGTTGATTTTTGTAAGGATTTTGAATACTTAGATCTAATCACCACGTAGTAGCCTCTCTTTGCAACTAGACAGACTCAGTTCCTTTTACTCATCCGTTTCTGACATTTCCTTGAGAGAAGGCTTCATTGTGATCCTGTTCCTTTTTACGTTCTTTAGAGGTCAGCAACTCCTTGACTTCAGTAACATGTGTGGAAGTCTTTGCCATGTTCAGACACTCCAGTTTTAGACTTGAGCTCCTGGTCGTCACCAAAAACATCAATCATGTTGAAGCAACCCTGTAAGGATTACTACGTTTTTCTGAATGGAAATAATGATAATACAGCATTATCAATATTATCAATCTCTCATCATTTGACAGTATTTTATGTTAGCAGATTTAATCTCCCTCGATGTGCTTTGTTTAAAATAAAAAAAATTGGTATCCCTGATTATTTTAAGGCTGGTGCTTCCAGCTCAGGGATAACATAGAAGCTGGAGGACCTGTAGACACACCCAGACCCAGGCTCCTGTCAGAGCCTTCCCAGACTTCACCGGAGAGCTGGAGAGCTGACAGGAGAGACAGCACAGCCCAGAAGAGCAGCCCCTGCCCCTCACAGCACTGCGGGTTTGACAGTGCTGTGAGGGAAGGCAAGGCACCAAAGGCCAAGAGGGCCCTGGCTACCCAGTGCCCACTGTACTGTACACCAGTCAGGCTGAGCTGGGGACTCCAGGACTGATCCAGGCCTGCAGCAGTGGTGTCCTGCGGCCCTGCGCCTGGAGTACATTGGGAAAGGGGCAGGCCTCACCTTGATGTATGTGACCGTCTGCTTCTGCCGGTCGTACCAGAAGCCGTAGTCGATCCAGAGGCGCAGCAGCTCCAGCGGGGGCTGGGAGCCGAAGCTGTCCTGAGCCGGCATGTTCAGGTCATCCAGGAAGGTGATGAGGCGCTTCCCCCCGATTGGCACATACACCCCCTTCGTCCGCTTCTCCACGCGGCTCTCGATAACGGCCTGCACGTTGTTCGAGGAAGTCTGAACAAACACACATGGCTCTTATGATCATTTCTGCTAATTATCCTGCTGACCTGATTTCAGTTTGGATCAGTGTGGATTGGGCCATTATACCCACTCAAATCGGAATCACCGACGGCACAGTCCCTGGACCTGCAGGGCTCGTCCCCCTCTCAGAGCTGACCCTGAGGCCTGGAGACTGAGCACTGCTTGGTCACTAGTATCAGTACAAGCCAACAGCAGGTCTACCAGATCCCAGGAGCTGTGGCTGGGTCCAGGGGAAGAACTTTACATCGAACTTAATATACATCGAACTTAACACCGGAAATACTTCACACTTTATACACTGGACCTGCTCACCTGGGCGGACATGTTGACGATCAGCACGCCCCACTTGGAGGTGTCCAGCCCCTGCAGGACGGTCTGGGCAATGGAGGTCTTCCCCGTGCCCACTGGTCCCACCAGGAGCACCGGGCACTGACTGGACACCAGTGCCCGCACCAGGAAGTTGTAGCGCACGGTGTCCACAGTGGGAACCATGATCTTGTAGAAGGGGGAACTGAGAACAGAAAAACACACAGTTACGCCAAAGGGGCGACAGTTCAGCCCTTCCGCTCAAAGATTGCTCTTGCTTCTCAGTTAACAGCACTAACCACTTCCTTTATTTTATCATCAGTAAAATACAAAGCCATTTCAGAAGCAAAGGAAACAAACCTGACATCAAAGCATTTCTTCAGCCCCACAAATAAGATTGTAATGGAAACAAAGATAAACGTGGACCTAAGCCAAGGTTTGATTCCTAAACAGTTTCTCCTTCTTATGCCGCATAACATGTGAACTGCATTCTGACTTGGACAAAGATTTTTAACCCAATAAAAGAGACACAATCAGATACACAGATACAGAGATGGAAACAGATGGTATTGCATGCAAACTGAAGACAGAACGTAACAGCAGTGCACATTTATCTGTGGCACGTTAAAGTCTGACAACACAATAATATAATTGTCTTTTTTGCTCCAGAATGCTTACACATTGAAATATTGTTCAGAGACAATGCTCAGCTTGTACACTGTTCCACAGCCAATCCAAAGTCTTACAGATCTCTGCTTATTTAATGGAATAAATGTCAATAAGCATGAATTCTTACTGGCACTTCCTCTAACTTAGTAAAGACATTGTGTAGTGGAATGCAATAGCACTAGAGGGAGGTTTCCATAGAGAACCACCATCTTGGCTCAAACCCAGGACATGTAGTGGCCTGGGGCCACAGTGGCTGCTGTGTCATGAGGAGATTGAAAGCAGGTGTGTGGGCAGTTGAAACAAGCACCTGAGGACACTCACACAGTGTAAATACCCTCTCTGATTCATCTGTGACAGAGTGGATATAAAGTGGCACTTGACAAAGACCAAACATGACCGAAATACAGTGCCAACAGGAAGAACACTGACTCAGTATACCACTATGCTCTGAAAATGAAAATCAAGCTCTGCATTGGAGACACTTGTATGATTTGCATTGGAAGAATACAATGAGCCTCATTACAAAATACAGTGATGCAAAGCCCTCCAAATCACAAAATAGACCTATTCATTCTAAACAGCATATTTACCTCAAAAGTGTTTGAAATTAAAAATGAAAAGCTGTTTTTAGTCTAGTGTTTTCTGGATTGATATTAAAATTCATTTTTTACAACAAATAACAGTGTGTTATCTTCAGAAAGTGCATTTAGAAAGTGCTGCACAAATTCTGCATTTCGCTGTACAAATCAGAATCTGAACTGCAGAATTGCTAGACAAAAATATAATTGACGTCTGTGCAGGTAGATACTACACTGAAAAACACCCAATCCTGCTTCAGGAGTGATTTCTACAAGCTGTGTCTGTGTCACTTCACAATGGTCTCGCACTCTTCAGGACTCTGACTGATATTAGCATTATTGCTGATGACAGTGAGAAAATTATTAGCATTATTGCACCAGCTGGCACTCACCCTGGGGGGTACCTCCAGCCCTTTGGCAGCTTCTCCTCAAACAAGGCCCAGGTCTTGTTCTTGGGGTCCACGTAGTACTCGTAGATAGTGTCCTAGAGAAGGGGCAGTGGAGATGGACTGACTGCAGGGCTGCCAGTGTGGATCACCACGCCATCACGGCACCGAAAGGTCTGCGTGTGTCTGTCTATGAGTGTGTGGACACCTATTTAATCTTAAGGCAGGGATTAAGTCTAAGAAAATAACACACAAAGGTACAATTGTTTGTGCATGACTGCATGTCACTGTGAGCACAGTGTACGCCGAGTGCCCCAGTTTGTGTGAGAATGTCTGTTGTATGTGTGCATCTGTGTCCATCTGTGTGTCTGTATGTACATGTGTGCACGTGTGGACGTGTGTGTCCGTATGTCTGTATGTTTGTGTGTCAGTATGTCTGTGTGTGTCAGTGTGTGTCAATATGTATGTGCCTGAGACGTGTGTATGTTCTGTATGTGTATCCGTATGTAAGTGTGTGTTTGTGTGTGTGTCCGTATGTTTGTGTGTCAGAATGTCTGTGTGTGTCAATATGTATGTCTGAGACGTGTGTATGTTCTGTATGTGTATCCGTATGTAAGTGTTTGTTTGTGTGTGTGTCCGTATGTTTGTGTGTCAGTATGTCCGTGTGTGTGTCAGTGTGTTTGTGTCATAGTATGTCCGAGTGTGTCCATGTGTTTGTACCTGTGTGTCAGTATGTACATGTGTGTCTGTGTCTGTGTGTGTGTAGTTGTGTGTGTACTTGTTTATGTAATGTATGTGTATCCGTATGTACGTGTGTGTGTCCGTGTATGTGCGAGTGTGTGTGTTTCCGTGTGTGTCTACCTTGCTGGGGAAGGTGCCCTCGGTTTCCCGGAGGAAGTTGTCGATCTTCTTGCGCCCTTCCTCGTCCACGGAGGCACAGATGGACCAGATGAGGCTGAAGGTGAACCAAAGCTCCACCATGCGGCTGAAGTTGTCCGAGTCAGAGGGGTTCACCTGGGAGGGTGAGGGGCACAGAGCTGTACGGACACTATTCTGGGTATAGATAGGAGCACACGCTCATCTCCGCAGGGACTTCCACAAAACAATCTGGAGTACGAGTAGGGACATGTCACAGAGCCCCTTCGGGGATTGTGATTGCAGGGTCCCCAGTTTAGGGAGTGTGAGGGGTGTTTCACTCAATCAAGCCCAGTGATGCTGACTAGCGGCGCAGCAGGAATGAACACAACAGGCCCTGGCTGGACAAGAAGAACCGTGCACAGGAACACTGCCTTGGGACTCACCCCATTCTCAGGCGTGGCGAGGGTGTGGTACAGCCGGCACAGTGATGCCACGCCGTTCAGCTCAGTGATGGGCACCAGCTCTTTGCAGTGAGTCTTCCTGAAGAGCAGGGTCTTCTCCACATACTTGTCAAACAGCCGCTGCAGGTGCTCCACCTCCTCCTGGGGAACACAGAAGAATGGGCTGGTCAGTAGACACCCCCCAGACCAGGGAACAGATTTCCCTTGGCGGCAGGGACTGTGTGGATGTACCTGACCTTCCCAGGCCAGGGTCTCAGTCCCACGCACCATTATCCCTCCAGCAAGAATGGGTTGGGATAAGGCCTTGTGAAATATCTGCTTAAAAAGCATGTGTGATGACCAATGTTCCCTCTAATGTTTCATGGCCTGTGTGCACAAAAATTTCAAGTTGTGCAAATTTTTTCCCCAGTGACAAAAACTTGTGCGCAGTAAATTGAGTGTATGTAAAATTGTAAACCTGAAATCATTTTTTGCAAATATAGTCATTCTTATAGAAGCATAGAGATCCAAAAGACCGGGATGGCAATTCAAGGAGCCCAGTCATGGAGACCGAGTGTGGAGCGAGCATGAGCAGGGAGGTACAAGACTATGAGAGCACAGACATCAGTGATCGAGTAGCAATAATAATGCACACAGCCAAGTTGGGCCTCTCGCAGACACTTTCATGTGGTCAATTTAGCACATGACCATGTTTGTTTTATTATTATTATATTTTTTTGGAATTTAATTTTTTGGGCGCAGTTCAATTTCCCATGTGCGCTGATTTCACAACCTGTGTGTGCGCACACACGCGCACAGCTTAGAGGGAACATTGGTGATGACACAGCTGGAGGAGAAAAGATGTATGACCTGTGCTTAATGCAAGTGGAACTCTTGACAACAAACAGCCACGCTTCACTGAAATTCTCACTTCCACATTCAAAGCATAAATTAGATCCCTGCTGGAATGGCAAGAGTGTGGTAATGTCAGCTCTCATTAACACATCTGAGATAAGTGATTATTTTATTTCTAAATCTCACTTACATCTTAAATGCATATAAAAACAGACCTCACACTAAACATGTAATATTGCTCAAGTACCCCAGTGTGACAGGGGTGTATTGTTACAGCTAAGAATGGGTACAATGGGTAACATCTGACTAGTGTCAACATTTCCAGCTTCAGTTTGGCTGGATTTTTGGCTGTGATGTTGGGGGTCCAGATTCAGTGATCAAATTAATCATAATGTTGACCTTATCTAATTAAGTTCTGGGTAAATGATTAAGAGTCAATCAACAGTCCAGGAAGATAGTGTATAACTAATAGGCAGGTACAGGAGGGGTAACTGGGGAAAAAGAGAAGGATATTGAGAGGCCCATTTATTTTGTGGCATCATGTCTATGTTGTACTGTATGTTGCTTATTATGTGTATTGTCATTATTAACCAAGTGTGCCTGAATTATTATTTTTTCACGAAAGCTGTGCCAGACAGCAAATAACTCATATTCCTCTAACTCAGGTATATTCTTGTCAAAACCTTTACAAGTTGGAGGTTATGATCATTTATTTCATTTATTGATTTATCCACTCAGTCAGTTCTTCATATTCACCATTTTCGTAACCTCCATTTGCAACCATATCAAGTGGTCAGGTAGTCCAGCTCACCTTCTTGCGTTTGTCCAGCCAGGACTGAACGTATGGTTTCCAGCCCAGGTCTGTGTAGTCAGTGTAGACCATCCCACAGCGGGACACTGTAGCTGGGGAGGCAACAGCCAGGTCCTCCACCTCAAACAGCAGGGACACCTGCACAGAGGAACACAAGTTATAGAGGGTGACAAAGCATGGCTGAAAGATGGCGTGCTTGTATCATAAAGAGAAGGATACCACTGCCATACTTGAGGATGCTGGTCTTGTTCCCAAACGGGATAAAGCGGGGAATAACATTAGCATTCAGCCTCTGATTAAAGTCCCACAGCCCAAATGCTGTGTCGTATTCTGTTTTCCTGATGTTACAAGGTTTTCCTGGTCGTGAGAAAGGACAGAGAGACCCAGACCCAGGCTGTACCTGCTCCGGCATGGCGATCCTCTCTCCATTGATAAGGGTCAGCACCTTGTTGTCATCCATGACGGAGTTCATGCTCTCAATCCACAGGGTGTCTACGGGCCCATCAAACACAATCCACTTCTCATCCGGCTTCTCGTCTGGTTCCACACAGAGAGAGGAGCTCACTCAACACAGGGGTGGACAGACTCCCGCTCAGCTCAGACACAAAGAAACTGATTGTCCTATATATTTGTAACTTGCGCTACAAAAGTCAAATTCTATAAGGCTGAGTAGGGAGCTGCATGAGCATGCGTAGGCTGCAAAGGACCAGTAAAGTTTCTTTCCGTGGTGAAATGTAAAGAAAAGAAACTACATTTTGGCTGTGAAGCCTTATTCAAGTGTGAGCTTATTCACGGCCAAAAACGGGTGTTTCTTCTCTTTACCTGTTCCTCTATAAGGCCCTGACCCTAACCCAAACAGCCTTATCAAACAAATCTTGCAAAACCTCCCTCTTGCAGTTTTAAAGAACTGTTTCCTTAACTTTTTCAGATGTGTTCAGGGTACCTGGCTGTACAAATTAGCCGGAATCACAACTATTTTTATGTTGTTAACTTTTGTTTCACAAAGTCTAAGTCAGCAGCTGTTTCGCCCTTATGAGGGCACTTCAGGATGAGCTCTACATGTTTTATATGGTAATGTATGTGTCCTTCCCCATCTCCCCAAATGTTTCTGTTTCTTAATGTCTCCATCTCAGCCTCTCGCTCTCTCCGTTTGTCTTGTTGTTCTTCCCTTCCACTCCCTCTGCCCTTCCCTCTTTCAGACTCCTGAACTGGGATTCAAACGGCTTTGCCAGCACATCCCATGAAACGCACAATGCCAACCAATTTGATGGCACTGGTTATCTTCTTACTCTGTCAACCCCTCTCTCCTGCGTCAGGAGGTGTCAAATACTGTACCTGCGCAGGCCGCTCTCATCAGGCTGGACAGCACCCCGTCTGTCCATTCGTTGGTGCTGAGGTCATATTCCCCGTACAGCTCCCCCAGACTCACAGCCTTGGGGTTCAGAGGACACTCCTACTCCACGCGGGCAGGATGCACAGGGAACCGGGGGGGGGGACAGGGCAGAGTTAGAAAGCATGAAGGATTTAGAGGGGGAGCCAGAGACAAGAGAATATTTATAGACATCGAGAGACATCATTAATAGGTACAATATGCATAGAGGAAGGTGTGGAAAGAGAAAGTGAGAATGAGGCAGAGAAAACAGATCATAAGAGACCGAGATTCAGAGCAAAAGAGGGAACAGGTGAAGAGACGCTGGGAATAAATAGGCAGAGGAAACACAGACAAAGTACGTGCGTAGGAAACGCGTGAATGGGGGAAGAGGCAGAAAAAAACAAAGAAAAGGAAAAATGACAGAGAGTGAGCAACAGAGTGCAAAAATAAAAAATGTGTGATCCATCAGAGACGGAAAGGTGTGTCAGAAATTCTGTGTAGAAATGGTATTAATGCATTGGTTTCACAGGTATTTTTTGAAAGGAAAAGCCAAGGCTTTGAAATTTGAAAATAAAAACAAGCATACAATCCTAACAAATATAGGATGCTTGTAGCTATTCTTAAGCCTCTTCCTCAAAGGAAGTGTTGAAGCAGGAAACTGGGTGAAACACAGATTGACAGAACTTTGCAGAGGAGAGGGGGAAGGAGAGAGGGATGGGAGGGCTGAGATGGGGATGGAGCAAAACAAAGGGATAAGAGAGACGGTGGCGAGAGAGGACAACAGCTAGGGCTGCAAGCATGCGATGCAGAGAGAGGGGGGAAAGGAAGAGAAAAGGCAGAGGCTGACAGGGTTCCTGTGAGCAGTGAAACGTGCGGACAAACTGGGCTGGCCTGCTCGTCAGCGCTCACCCGGACCAGGTTGTAGCCCGGCTCGCCGGTGCGGTGCAGGGTGGTCAGCGCGGCCTGCAGGGTCCTCCAGGTGACGGTCTTGCCGCTGCCCGTCTTGCCCACGATCATGGAGGAGTGCCGCGAGTTCTTAGTCTCGTACAGCTGGATGACCTTGGTCAGGGTGAAGGGCGTGACCTGCAGGCCGCTCTGCCGCAGCTCTCCCTCGATCGTCTCCTTCAGCTGGGAGTGACAGAGCACGAAGCAAGCTTGTTCAGGGACACAGCAGTCTGGGACAGTCACACACACTGGCACTGAGAGAGCAGGACACTGACACAGAGAGGACACAGCAGTCTGGGACAGTCACACACAC